ATTAATACTCTGGTATCACAGCACACAGCTCTCAGGATCGCGCTGTCTCCTGGCATGGCCGCTCCAGACCCGTCGCCATCTTGGACCTTGCTTTTCTCCTATGGTGCCATCTGAGTCCATGTTTTTCTGTGTAGGTTGACCCAGTTTATAAGTGCCTGAGCATGAGAAATATTTCCTTATATTCCCCTATAGCAATCTTGGTTTTCTGCACATAGCAGATACTAATGGATTCACCAGTGTTTGACACTATTTAAAATCCTAAAACAAATCAGATGTCCAGAGGTGGCCACCATTGCAAGGAACTTCTTCAGTATTGTGGGTTCTCCCATTCAGTGACCTCAAATGATGTCAAAATTGGGACCAGTAATGAAATAAAAAACTAACTCGTATTCACATGCTTAATAACTGTTAAAATTATCTGAACAATGTCCTATCAACACAAAAGTTTTTTCTATATTTAGTATCTCATGTTCCTTTTTCTCTCTCCCTGTAAGGGCTTTGTATGTAGCATTTTTACTGTTAATAAAATTCTGGTCTTGACATTTTTAGGAATGATATTACCAAAAGTGTTTCATAATGCCAAAGAAAACAAAAATAGAAGACATAGTACTTGAGTTTATTTATTTATTTTACCCTATTTACTCTTTTTTTCCCTAGATTATTTCAGTGACTGGATTTGTCGATAGTGACAGAGATGACCTAAAGTTAATGGCTTATTTGGCAGGTGCCAAGTATACTGGTTATCTGTGCCGCAGCAACACAGTCCTCATCTGTAAAGAGTAAGCACTTTTTGAAACCATTTTTAATCATAAATTTACATACAACATAGTGGCTATTTCAACAATTCTGTATTACTTAATGTGTCATAGTTTTAAGAAATTCGAGTGAGGAATTCAAAGTCTGTTTAAAGACTGGCAGTAATGCTTACAGTAATGTTAGCAGAAGTACCTGTAAAGCACTTGAATTAAAGAAACAAGGTGAGTTAACGAAATTAGGTAGCAGGAATAAGGTGAAAGTAGGACTAGTAGGTGGTCTCATAAGCCGGTGTGAGCCTGGAGGTGTACAGTTCCCAGCCAGGGATTACCATCAGCTTTGCTACGATATACCTGCCACTTCTATTGTGAGAATTTTTTTATTGGCTTTTGTTGAAAATAAATATAAATTTGAAAAGTAGAGAACTCTAACATTTAGTGAATGTTTTCTCCTCAACAACAACAACAACAAAAGACCAACCGGTTTAAAGTACGAGAAAGCCAAAGAGTGGAGGATACCCTGCGTGAATGCCCAGTGGCTCGGTGACATCCTCCTGGGGAACTTCGAGGCGCTGAGGCAGATTCAGTATAGTCGCTACACAGCATTCAATCTACAGGACCCATTCGCCCCGACCCAGCACTTGGTCGTGAACATGCTGGGTGAGTGGAGTTTCATACGCAGTTGGTCTCGCCTTCCACGCTTTGTCCCTGCTGCCCGCCGTGCTCAGCTGCAGCTCTCCCGTCAGTTATTCACTTCCCGTTTCCTTTCCACTATTTCTGCCTTCCCTGACCTCATAGAGGGTTTTTGTTGGTTTGGTATTTTTGTTTACTTTTCATAGACTCTCAGCTCATGGAACATTCCCTGCTTTCTTGGGATCTATGTCTTGTCTTTCTTTGTCTCTGTCGAGCTTTGACTGACTTGCTGTTAACGTCCAGAACGCTGTCCTGCTCCTGCGAGATGGAAGGAACACTTGAAAGCCAGTTATCTTTTGCCAAAAATGCCCCTAACTCATGGAACATTCCCTGCTTTCTTGGGATCTATGTCTTGTCTTTCTCTGTCTCTGTCGAGCTTTGACTGACTTGCTGTTAACGTCCAGAACGCTGTCCTGCTCCTGCGATAGGCAGGAGGGCACGTGCCTGCCACCCCGCCTTTCAGTACACACAGCTCCTTAGTGAGTCGTCTCCCCATTGTAGACATCGCCACACTGAATTTTAATTCTGCTTTTACAGAATTGGACGTCATTCCAAAAAAGGCATTCAAATCTGCTTGGACATTCTCCCTTAAGGACACCCATGTCATGTCTTCAGAAGGCTTGTCATGAAAAAGCTCTTCTTCATTTTGAGCCTTGACCTACTTGCCTTTAACATACCTGTTAGTCTGACTTCAGCTCTGTAGCCATTCTAGAGGCGACCTCATGGACAGCTGTCTCTGAGGATGTAAGCCGTAGCGTGCCACAGGGTAAACGTGCTGGTCGTGTCAGCAAGCCCCTGCTCAGTGTGGTCCTTTCCGTCGGCCACCTAGTGTCATAACTGGTGTGTTAGAGCCCAGACTGTGTGGCACCCAGAACTGGACACAGTCTTGTAGAAGTGTCTAGCCAGACAACACATATGGGATGGTGAATACTGTGTATTTATTTATTTATTCATTTATGTTTTTATTTTGGGGTGGCTGGCCAGTAAGGGGATCCGAACCTTTGAACTTGGTGTTATAGCACCACACTCTAACCAACTGAGCTCACCAGCAAGCCCACCGGTGATTTAGACATAGTGTCTGCTTTTTTGTTTGTATGCTGCTGATTTTCTTAGTGCTTCTTCAAGAAGATAATGTGCAGTAAACTAAAGCATCGAGAGCGCTCACAGGAGCACCTCGCTTCTCCGTCACCTTGCACTGGAAAGCTTTAACTTAGTGAGGTGCTTGCATTTATCCCTGCAAAGTCTTTTCAGCCAAGCCACCTAGGTGTCTGAGATTAGTAGCCCCAGAAAAGGCTTTTTCAAAAGGGCTTTCCTGTTTAAACAAGTGTAAAAAATAACATATTTCTCTCTTTAGATGCTTGGAGAGTTCCATTAAAAGTGTCGCCAGAGTTGTTGATGGTATGTCAAATTGATTACCTTGCTTCGGATATTACTGTATTGTTAAAATGTAGTGGGGATATATTTGTAAATTAAAATTCTTTTAGTAATTTGTCAATATGATAAAAATGAAGGCTATATCTTCTCACCTGTCATAGAATGTCGAGTATACACTGGTCTGTTTTTCTCTTAATTGTTGATGATATGATTGTCATTCATATACGTACATGTGAGGAGCGATGTTTGCTTTGCTGAGCTATGTGATTGCTTATGAACTAGAGGACAGAGTAAAGTCCTGTGACTACGTCCTGTTTGTCACAGGGTTAGGGAGGCAGGAGCTTTGAGAACCACCAGAGGCAGTAGGTCTGTATCCCCTTTTAGGCCACAGATTGGAATTAAAGGAGTGCCAGATCTCTTTATAGTGAGAGGCAGTTTCCTAATGTCCCAGGTTGGGGGGTCACATCACGTTGGTTGAGGTCTCTGGAAGTTTGAGGACCATTAGTTGTTAGTTACAAGACAAGTATGGGCTGGCTTTTTTATTATTGGTCAGTAGTGGTATAATTTAAAGGCTTAGGTTTATGTACATGTTGTTATATATATGTATTAACATATTTTCAAAAAATGGACTTCCATGTCATGTGTATGTTGAATTTTTTACCGCATTTCTATCATATACAGAGGCAATTTAGAGTTCACACTACTTGAAAAACTGAGGAGGATGTTCTCGTCAGGTTACCAGCCAGCTCCTATAGGAGCCTTTGTTCTGATTGTTGGTCTACTGGCTGACTCATTTTCCAAATCTAATTTGGAAGCTGCTGATAATCATCCCGAGTCTTTCAGGAAGACTATGTATATAAGCTGGTGTCTTATTTTTTTTAATGTTAATGATAATGTGATCATGTATGTTTCTTTTTTCTAGTTTACACTGATTACTATGATTTTGATAAAACATGACCCGCTCTGACATATCAGCAAAGTAAATATTCTCCCAGTTCCTTTGGATGAAACCAAGCTGGGAAAGTGGTCGCCAGGGACTTTTCCCCTCCTGGACCACATGGCTTATATTCTAGAATTGTTAGGGGCTCCAGATGTCTATTTGTCTTGTGGCTTTGTGTCAGGAATTAAAAGCTGAAAATCTTAGAGACAAGAAGGCCCTTTTTGTCTATACCACCATTTGTTTCTGCCCTTGCTACTGATGAGTGGAAATTTGGAGACTTAAATGTGATCTTTGGAAATAGAGGGTGGAGGAATTGTTTTTTTGTGAAGATGGCAGTAAGAAAAAATATAAATCTTCCTGCAAGTTATTGTAAGGCTTGATTCTCCCTGTCTGAAAGGACTAATAGTTTTCAAATACTTTCTGAAGATCTGCTTATATTTATTCTGGTCTGTCTAGATATGGCAGTAATATTTAGAAAATGTAAGTTGTAGTTAAGGTAAAATAATAAGATCGAGAGGTAGTGCTTAAAATAGTAAAACATGAGCAAATAAAGTATCTTCTGGAAAGTTCTCTGAGCTTACAATGTGAAGAGGGGGTAAACAAGCAGTAGGGGCCGGACCGAGACGCTGACTGTGGGAGGAACCCCACCAGAAAGCCCATCTCCTCCTCTCTTCTTGCTTGGACCAGCTTCTGCTCCAGGGTCAGGCTCCGGCTGGCTCTAGTGGACATGGGCACGTTCTTGAGACACAGTGCAGGTTTCACACCTGGTCTTGGTCTGAATAGCACCACTGATCTGACTGTCACATAGTATCTTTTGTGAAACCTCAGGGGTGATATTTCTGTTTTAGGAGTAGTCCTTTTTAGGGGGGATGTAATTGTGGTGCTTATGTTTTCCACATTTCAAACTGGGACACAGGACAGGATATTTGTAATAAACATGGTTCTGTGAAGTTCAAGGTTGAGGACTGCATGTGTAACATGAGGTGAGGAAAGAAAGGGATGAGCGTATTTTAGAGAACTGAGAGGATTTGGTGAATAAAGAGGAAAGGCAAACAACTAATACAGAGGTTCTCTCCGGAACGTTGGCTTCTACTCCTGGCTTGCATTATCCTAGTTATCTTTCCAGGCGAATACTAGCTTGTGTGGTGAAGAGCATGCTGCTTGTGTATAATTAAGTAGTTTGATTATTTGACACATAAATCTCTTGGAAGCTACTGTATTACTTGGGAGATTGATTTGATTAAAGTAGACAATATTTTAATTACAGGGTGTAAGACTACCTCCCAAAGTGAAACAGAATGAAGTAACTAATATCCAGCCTTCTTCCAAAAGAGCCAGGTATGAATAGTAACCTTACTTTTTTATGGTTGTTTATCTTTCACAGGTCTGTTTTGGAAAATTGGTGACAGTTGGGGAAAGTTTCTAGAAATTTTCACAGTAAATAGAATTTGAAAGAATTTGCTTTTTGCTTCACAACTTTATTGTGATATGTCTCATTTTACTGCTGGAGACAGACAGTGGATAATGACATAGGCCAGTATATGTTTTTTTCTTTTTTAGTAAAAGAAAAACAAAAAACAAAAATCTGACTCTTCTTTAAGCAAAACTTTACCAGAATCCCCAGTATGTAGAACCAAAGCTGCTGTGGTAGACATGGGGTGAGCGGTCTAGAGCCCAGCTAAGAGCACTGCATGGAGCCCCAGATACCAGGGCACTGCTGAGGAAGCCCTGCACTAGTGCCCTGGAGAGCATCCCGGGACATTGAGACCTCTTGGGTGTGCTCCTTTGACCTGCTGGTTCTCCATAAGGATAAAGCAGTAGTAGCCGTAGTGCAAAAGAGAATCCGAGAACTCTTTGGAATGACTTGTATACCACATTGTGCATGTTGAGTTTTGGCTTGGGGTGTGCAGATTTGTATGGATATCATTTTAGGCTCATCCGGTATAAAGACATGGTTAACCACTACTAGTCAGTAATGAAGTGCTGGCAATCATTTAATCAGGAAAGTGTAGCAAATGCAGGAGCACACCAAGGGAGCTTTGTTCTCTGTTCTTCTTTTTGGTGTGGTTGGTATGGGGATCTGAAACCTTGACCTTGGTGTTGTAACACCGCACTCCAACCAATATTGCTGTTTTCTGTTCTTGATATAGAAAACTTATTTCTTAACTGTACTTGGTGAAATATGGTGACTTGGATTGTTTCTTGCCATTACCAACGTCCTCATCTTTTTTTTTCCCCGTTCCTCCTCTTTCCCTCCTTACAGTCCCTGTGTTCAGAGAACAAACCAAATTGTTGTTGACCCTTTTAGTAAAATCCTAATCGTGGGATTATATTTTTTAAGGCTGTGATTAAATTGCCACAAATAAACTCTAAAATAGTTTTTTTCCTGGACTTTACCATTTAAATATAAGCTGAAAAATAAGATTTTTAGAAATGTAAGGAAAATATAAAAGGACAGAAGGTTTAATTTAAATGTGTGCTTGAGTAAGGCAGCTTATTTTATACCTTCTGGTAGAAGACAGAGGGCTAGAATTAAAAAGATACCAGAAGGTCTTGGTATACTTTCTCTTGGCTGACTTGTATTGATGTTGAATGTGAGAACAAGCAGCAGCCTGAGTCACACAAGGTTATATAAAAACTTGATATAAATAATGAAAAGCAGCCACTACAACGGTTAAGCTAGCAAAATCAGTGAAATGCAAAGATCAACTTCAACATTTGTTTTTTTTTTTTTTTTTTTTTTTCTTTTTCCGTGCCCGGCAACGGGA